TTATTATTGTGGAATATAGCTGTTCTCGAGCCCAAACCATAATACTACCACAGTCTTTCTTTTAACTTGATTCTTGTGCTTAGTTCAGTATATTGTTTTCTCCAAACAACCATTCTTTTTTTAAAAMCAAAACTTTATTTTGAGCTCATCCTTCCTTTTTAGAGATGTGGGAGTGCTGCAAAGTTAAAAAAAAACACACACAAAAAAGGTCATTAGAGTTACATTTAGACACAAATAAATATAAAACGAGCACACAGTTTCTCAACTTCAACTCCTTTAAAGAAGATTACACATTTTTCCATGTATACAAYAAGGATCCAGTCTAAACAGTGAAGCACAAAAAAAAGAAACATCTCTGTGTGAGGACTGATGAAGTAGTTTTCCTGCGTTGTGTGGGTTGAACAGAAGATTAAAGGATACGAACCAGGGGAGCCCCAGTACAAGCAGGAACAGCTGTCCGGCCTCAGAGGGCAGCTCCTTTAGCCGACCTGTCATACGACTCTGTGACTCWTTCAAGACAGACGTATCGTGTTGGCAAGAAATGAGTTATAAACGTGAGAACGAGGCAGAAGGCCCAGACCCCAGGATCCTGCAGGTTTTGACTTATGCACCATTTAAAATTCACCTCTCAGATCATGATGAGGTCGTTTTAACGGACTTGGAGACCCTGATCGTAGGCTCTCCCCACGTTTTGCCGCTGTTAAAGTAATATCCGCCCACTTCCACCCCAACATCCGACATGGGTTTCCCATCAGCCACCTCTGCGTCTGTTCGCTCACTTGTTGCAAAAGGATCAGCGATACGCCACGTCAGACACGTACGCTCTGACTGGGGGCTTTTCTTCTGTCCTAATAGATGCCATGTTTAGCCTTCAGCTGTTTTTATTTTCACCCCAACAACGGATAAAACCAGCCCTGCAAAGCAACACAGCCTGTAGAAACAAATGGAATTACCGTATAAGTATAATACGTAAAATTAAATCCATAAAATCATCCATGAATTTGTGGGGTAGTACTATACTCGGATAAATATTTTTACTTATGTATTTTTACTGAAATATCGGCTTCATTCACAAAATTATTGAGTCCGGAAATGAGACCGCGTCGTAAAAATCAGTTGAAACGAGCTTACCTCTGACACTCCTCCATGCTTCAGAGTGAGACAATAACAGATCCAAACAGGAGACATGATGTGAAAAAGGGGAAAAAGTATTCCTGCACCTCAGTAATGATAACGAACTAATGACATTAGCGTGTGACCGAGCCGCTCCTCGAACAACAACAAACACATGTTCACCTGTAATGGCTGCCGTCTACCGGTGTTCTGAAAAAGTTTTTATCCCTGGAAAAAAGTTTCCCCACCAGAGGGGGCGCTCACGAGTAGGAAGTAATCTGCTTTTTCCCCACGAGATGGCCCAAATCTCATGTGAAGTCTCTGACTTTTGTGTTGGCGCCTCCTGGTGGACTATGTGTAAAATGCCAGAATTCATATGATGCTGCTACAGCTGATATATATTTTTTGTCAAAATACCTTTTAGTACATATGTTGTTAAAATAAAATAAACAGTCCAATGATCATTTTACTGATATGTATAAAGACTGCAAAGGCTGAAAAATCTTGAAGTCTGTATGAAATTGGAGGTAGTTTGAGGATTAAACTTTTTTATGCTTTTTAAGCTCAAAAAAAGGGGGGATCGTATTATACATGAGATCATATTATACACAAATAAATACAGTAAATAAAATACGCTGTAGTTAAATAAGCATTGAGTCTGTTTCTGCTTCCCAGCAGGTCTAATGAACCCAGCTGACATTAGGTGTATGGTTACCAGCAGCCCTGCTTTGCTCAGGAACCTGATAAGTCGGGGAGCTATTCTCTCATGAAGGAGTGATGAGTAGGGATGGATCACACGGAGGCAACTAAGTTAATTTATTGCTCTTCGCGTTTTGTAACATTCGCCTCACTGCTGAAAAAGTCCGAGGTGATGATGTGACCCCGTTTTGTTGAGTTAAGGTCGGCTAACCCTCTGAGCCTCTCTCTCCGCTGACTTAATTCTGACTTGCGCTCCCCCCACATATATTTATCTCTGCTGTTCCAACCACACGGGCCTTCACAAAGAGTTTTAGGAGAACTGCCTTTCCACCGGTCAGGCACGAAGATTTACGCACGTCTAAGTTTTCTGTGAAACGTTTAAGCTTTTTTATTTTCGTAAACGGCAGCTTCGTGGCCAGGTTTTAGTCTGTGACGAGCCCCAAACTGGAGAAGGAAAATCCCGCTGTGAAATGTTTGGTGTTTTTTTCTTATCTCAGCAGTTTTTATTATTGGTGTGTCGTCTGATTGTAGCTTTTATTCTAAGTTTTAGTTTGYCGACATATAATTTAATGTTCCCATTAACCAAGATTTAATGTGTGGTCCGCCTCAGCACACTAACCCATCAAACAAACCACTACTGCTTCGAATGCAACATCAACCCACTTTTCACACGAGTCTGCAGACCGAGAGGGGCTACATTCATTTCTTTCAAGAAAAGATTTCTTTATGATTTTTTTATTTAAAGTAAGTTTTACCTCTAATTATTCTGGTTATCAGATTTAAGGTGCTTATTTATTTTTGCAGAAACTCTTTTTTATTAATGCTTTGTTTAAAGCAAAGGATCGTAGTACTTTTTAAATCCACATTTCCAGTCATTTAAACTTTGGAACAAATGATAGTTGTGGTGAAAAGCTCAGGAGTTTGGAACACAACTGAGAAAAGTGCAAACTTCAGTGGACCGGTAAACCGGAGAATATATGAATCATTGATTTATTTTGGCTTTTAGGTGAGATTTTTCATAACTCGGGCGTTGAAAAGCTTCATCCTCATACCTACAAAGAAAGCAGTAAATAGGTGAGGACAGCAGCTTGGCCCAATAAAACCAAACGTCTAAATACTGAAACTGCCGGAAACTTAAAAAGCAAACAGGCCTCCTGTGTATTGTCATCCACACTGATCTATACCACTCTGCTTCTGCAAACATTGAATCGTGTAAACAGTCCTGGTGATGTTTAATGGCTCTGCCACTTGTGGAAATCCAAGTGTGGATTTGCTTCTAGCATAGGCAGAAATTGAAGAAGTGCTGAACAAACAGACTCTGTCACCCCCTCGAGCTGTATAGAGGCTCGGTTCGATCCACGTCTGCTCCGTCTCAAAGGCTGCCAGTCGGGTGGTGGGTGAACGGGCTGATTTCCCCTGATCTCATCCAGCCCCATGGGACAGGCGGTGTTTGCACAGCAGCACAGAGGGATACAGGAAGTAGAGGAAATTCCATCGTTGCCAGTTATGTTTGGGCCCCCGCTTCCCCCTCTGTGCCTCTACAGGGCTCAATATGGGCTCCCTGTGAAAGATAGTTCTGTTTATAATCTGGCCACTTTTGAACTGTTGTTTTATCAGTTAGTTATCAATAGTTGTACCATAGCATTCGCTGTGACTACAACCCATATTCAAATGAGGTTGTTTTGTAAAACAAATAAAAGAATTAGGTTCAGTGTGCCGAGGGGACCTCCCCTTCTCGAACTGTTTCTCACCACGCTCTGTGCGAAGCGTTGTGTGATTGGTCCGAAGTTTGTGGGCGTGTTTGTTTATTCTAAAAGCGCTGGGATGCTGCATCGTGCATCAACTACTCGCTTCCAGAATGTGACT